ATTGGTCAACTAGATCTTATATTCTTTCGGTTCTAAATATAAGATCCCTTTTGTGGTGTAATTTGCATGACAAAATGGGTTTTATATTTAGGACCGGAGGAATATTAAGGATGGGAGGTGGTACGTTACTATCTTTGATCCTTAATATAAGAACTAAATAGCTAATTTTAGGATAATAAAAAAATTAGTTAAGTTAGTTATTTATAATAATAAATAGGTTTTGGCTTTTCTAGATAACCTTGTAAATCTTGAGGGGTAATCAATAGAGACATCTTGGGGGAGAAAATTATGAATTGAAGAGACAAAATAGATTGAGATCTTATATTTATAACAAAATTGACCTTCTTGTCTAGCTCTTATATCAAGGATTAGAAGTAGTATATAATATGTGCATCTGATCAATATATTTGTATATTGATGGTGATTGGATTATGACTGCGGCAGGTACTAGAAGTACTAAGGAAGATGGTGAGAAGGGGAGGGAAGTGAGAGTGAAGCATCAAAAAAGGAGAGAAATGAATCGCAGTTGGGTATTTCCCATTGCAATTTTAGCTGTTGCACTCTTCTCATTCTCAATAAAGGATGATCTTCCCGAAGCACAGCAATAATGTCAAACGATGCATGACAAGGCGTCCACGTCAGCAATCTGAAGGATCATAGCCAATGCATTTATTTTGGAATATAATAATGTAATGAAATGCTTCTCTTATCCCAGATTCTATCTTTTCTTTTTTTGGGGTAAGATCCCAGATTCTATCTTGAAGTATGCATGCCACGTACTTGTTTTCATGGTCTGCACTTGCATGAGTATTTTCTCTGTATTGAATGAGAAGTGAATGATTCAATAAAACCATTCTTCCATTCTCTTACAAAAGACAAGATATCCTGAAATATAACGAATTCTATCATGATCTAAATGGTAATATATGTATGTATGCATGCATAGTAGTTATTCTTTCCCTGATTTATTTCATCCAAGATTAATCTAAGATTTCGAAGTGTATGTTAATACTATGGGCTAATTACTACCAAGGTCCAATAATAAACAAATCTTATTTATAGTGCATTCAATATTCTAAATATTAGTAAGATTCTGAAATATTGATAGAGAGTTACTTCTGTTAACTAAACAAAAAAAAAGTAAAATAGGAATTCTTTATAAAATTACTTCTGTTAGCTATCAATGGCATGACACAAATCATCGACACTAGCCCCTTTCTTTGGGTGAGACTCGACCTCCCTTCCTCAATATACGCAACGGTACATAACCCTTTTATAAATATTTATAGGGTTAGCAACTAACTACATGATTAATACTAACAACAAACTAATCAACCTGATTAATTCAATCTTTCAATGCCCTCCTTTAAGTTGACACCACTGGACTCAAGGTTTGAACTTGCCAACACAGAATATTAAGAGAGGTGAAGTGAACTAGACCAATGACAATGACAAGTAACGATTCTGCTTCCTCCCATAGTTGGTATCCTTATTTTCATGAGCATAGCTTCTACATTCAAACTTGAATGAGAAACGTCATGTGATAGGTGAGCCTCGAATTTTAGTGACCCTCAAGTGCAACACCAGCTTACCCTGGCATGGTCCTCTGGGCATAATAGTAGCAGAGGCTAGTTGAGATCAATGAGCGAACCATTTCTGAGAGTAAACGTGCCAAAAGTTGATTGAGTCTGTGAGTCCTTGGTGATTTAAAGACGTGATCGATGGCTTTTGTCTCGTCTCGTTGTTATAAGGACAGGGATAACAATTCTGGAATGAAACAATGAGCCATGTGATGATCACATCACTATATAAAAAAATGACTCCCAAACGATGACTCTCAGTGGCAACTCAAAATGTCCTTGTAAACTTCAGTGGCAACGTGAAAAGGGCTTTTAGCGGTGACTCATCAAGTCAAATGTGGTCGCTGAAAGTAACTTGCAGCAGTGACTTTCTTTTGTTGCCACAGAAAGTCTATTGTAAATTTTTATTTTAAGCTTTTTTAAAAATTATCATATTTAAACAATAATTTAACAAAATAAAGTATTTTTACTTGTTCTAGTGTCAGAGAGAGGGAGGAGGAGAGGGAGAGATAATGTAGTGTGTGTTTGAGAAAGTAAGAGAGAGGGAAGGAAGAAGGGATGAGTGTGTGTAAAATAAGAGTGAGATATTATAATTGCGTGCTTGTGAGAAAAGAAGAGAGTTAAATAATCATAATAAAGTTTATACTTTTAGCAGCGACTCCGCTGAAAAGTATCAGCGATAGTCGGTGTGGTAACAACTTAGCGATAATTGCTGAAAGTCTTCTTGTTTTTTTTTGTAGTGCTTGAAATGCCATACCCATAAATCTGCCCAAAGCAGCCTTGTTGGATGGACAATAGAATAAGAGTAGTCTGGAATGAGGACCACCAATGAGTTTTTTATGAGTGCTGAGGTTTCTTAAGTTTGAAAGTCAATTAGATGTATGCAAGTACAAAGGGAAGTTTGGATGCCATTTCTAAAATGTAAATATAAGAAGCATCTGTCATGAATCTCACGTCGGAAAGGTTACCTATAAGTAAAAGCCTTATAAGTCCTTGAACCCTTGCCCAAATTCTGCAAAATTTAATGACGTGCTTGCTGCTACTGCGCAAGCTCAGTTGTGCGGATGGTTGTGAGAACTACACACACATAATGTGTAAATAAATATATATACAAATGGATAGAGGTTTGGAGTTAGTCCAACACTTTTGTTTTCCCTGATAGAGTTTAATTATTTGAAATTACAAAAACATAGACCCCATCCCATGTATATACTCGTAAAAAAGACGAAGGCAAAGTTCCTAAGACCTTGGTGCAAAAAAGAGGGAGTATCGAACTAATAAAAAGTCAACGGATTCATACCATGTAAATTTTTCTAGCTGGCATGTGGAGATTATTCTGACGAAGAAAAGCTTTTATTTATTTAACTATTTAATTAAATATTATGAATTATGTGATTGGGTTGGGAGTGTGGGGATATAACTTGCGAATGTAATATACTCATGTGGCAAAATAATTATATTTTCCTGATGCTATTTATAAGGCACTTCTAGTAGATTTTACACAAACAAAAAAAAATGTTAAGGGTCAAAAACACCCATAAAAATATACCAAAAGTTCACCCAATACCATGAACTTTCTTTGGGTTCAAATCTACCGATCAACGTTTAAAAAGAGGTCAATAATGCCAGTGTCGTTAACGTTCGTTTTTTAAGTAGTGGGACCCACAATTTTTTAATGAAAATACCAAAATACCTTCAATGAAAAAAGGTTAAGGGTCAACAATACCCGTGATATTTTCATGGGAATTTTCGACCCTTAACCCAAAAAAAAAAGCCTTAAACTGCATCAACTATTCATTAAAATGTAACAACTTTTCAACTTTGCTCATATGTATTATATGAACCTTTAAAAAAATTATTTACACTATAATAAATAAACAATAAAATAGTACATTCATAGTAAAAATTTAATGAAGTGCTCCATAAATAGGGTAAAAAAATTTTTTCTCTCTACTTTATAAATAGGACTAGATGACTATATTTTACATTATTTGATATTAATATTTATATTAAAAGAACATTTAATTTGTATGTATTATTTTTATGAAAAGTCAACGAGTCAATATCTCAAATACATTTTTTAACTCTAATATTCAATCTTATGGAATCACTTTTATTTCTTCATTATTTACCATGAGGAAACTTCACATGGCATGCATCTCCTACCCGGCATGAATTATTTGTTGACCAAGACTTCGTTGCTAGTGAAGTGAGTAAAATTAATCAAGGGGCCAACATATATGATTTGATTAATGATGTCAGTTTGTCAAAAGCTTCAATTAATTAATGGAGTCCAACTCAATGTACAGTCATTCTACATGGCGCATGTGATCGAGGATGATGATTGAGATGAAGTGATGAAGCGGTTATTTTTTAATTATTTGATTAAATTAGGTGAACTACTAATCCTGCCTCGTAAATAGCATAATTGTTATAAATTTTATGTTTAGTATTGATATTAATTAATTAATTTAAATTAAAAGACCTTAAGCATATTTTAATTAATTTTTTTGTTTTAACGGCTACAAAATTTAAAATAAAAATAATTTTATAACTCACATTTTTTTAAAAAGATAAATTTATTATTAAAAAATTGTATAATAACAATTTTAAATTTGAACCATGCATACTAAATCTTGAATAGTTTAGATTGCATCGTAATGATGAACAAGGCCTGAGATCCCAAACTCCAATTAAAAAGCTACCTCACCTCGTGAGCTTTGGGCACCTAAACATAATAAGTAATGGATTTCAGATCAAGAGGGTTTGAATTTTACTCTTTTTTTTTTCAACTTTACACATCCACTCACAATTAAATTATCTTCTCGTAGCCACTTGACCTAGAGCAAGCCTCATGCGGCGTTGAAATTTAAATACTAAAATGATCTATTCAAAGATAGTGCTCCCATCTTCTTGAAGTAATGAAACTAAAATTATTTAATTTCAACCTTTTTTTACTTTAATTAGTTAATTAATTAATTAATTGAGATCCGACATTTATTATCTTCTCTTTTAAAGAAATTGAAGTTGATCAATTTTGTTGAACACATATTAAGGAGAGTTTGGAGTGAAAGTGAATGAAATCAGTTATCGCATCCTTAAAATGAATAAAAAGTTAATATAATTTTTGGTTTTTTAAATTTGTCCTCATTTTGGTTTTAATTTCTCAAAAATTTTGTCAGTCTAAAACTTTGGCCCCTATTATTTAATAAAAAATTGGACCATTTTGCTCATTTAGGATCAAAACTTATGGTTTGAACTTGAGGAACAGAAACTAAAATAAGGGCAAATTTAAGAGACCAATGATTATATTAATAGATAATATGGGGATGGCATTGTCAAGTTATAAATACAGAGGAGTGGAGGCAGGAGATCAAACAAAGCAACAAGTGTGATTATTTGTGCAGCAAATTAAAGGCCATGGACCAGAGGTTGGTGAGAGCTGCAATATATGGAGATGTTACCACACTGCACAACCTCTTGAAAGAGGATCCTCAAATACTGCAGAAAGCATGTTCAGTTCATTTCGCAGATTCAGCTCTTCATGTCGCAGCACAATGTGGGAAAACAGATTTTGTGAACCACATTGTGACTCGAATGCCTTCATTAGCCACAGAGACAAACCAACAAGGTATGATCCCACTGCACTTGGCTGCTTTTGAAGGTCATGTTGAGACAGTGAGGGAGCTGTTGAAGGCAAATGTTGATGATGATGGAGTGAATCAGTGCCTTGTGAAGGACGAAGAAGGCTGGACTCCGCTGCACTCTGCAACACAGAAAGGCAAGATCGTGGTGATGGAAGAGTTAATCAGCGTATATCCTCAGTGCCTGGAACAAGTTACAGCAAAAGGAGAGACTGTTCTTCATGTAGCAGTGAAGGCTAACCAATTTGAAGCTGTGAAAGTGCTAGCAGAGAGGATCAAAAGACTTCCAAATTTCCAGACACTTTTGAAAGCACAGGACCAAAATGGCAAGAGTGCCTATCAACTTGCAGCAGCAAAGGGACAGTCGCAGGTACTAGAGTTACTGAAGGAAGATGACGACAAGGGTGACGAAATAAAAGAGGAACGTCATATAAACATTGAGGGAGAGGGAAGTGATGACCCTAAAGCATCTAAAAAACTGCAGAGCAATGCATCGCATCTATTTCAGGATGCAATACTAGTGGTGGCCACCTTGATTATTACATTAACATATCAAGCTTTAATTTGGCAAGTCCTCCATCAACCTTTTACAGAGATGGCGGTATTACCATAGACTGGGGCTGCCTTCGCCGCGGCGAGAAACACAAATCATCAGAAGGCCTTATAAAGCGCCTCAAGGAGTGTCCAGCCATTTTGGCTTTATTGTTCATGATCTTCAACACTTTGATCTTCTTCCAATCGATCTTCAGCGTGGTTAACACCTTGCGGGGTCCCATTAGACTTCCTGTGCGACTGCTCATGCTGTTCCTGACATTGTGTTATAGTTGCTTGCTCACGGCTTTCTACTATTATGCCGTATATTTTGCAATCCCCTTTGCATTTTTAGTGATTTTCCTCTTCTTATTCACAAGAATGAAAAATGATCCAGAACCACTCATACTTACCATGTTTCGCTTGTATATTAGCCAAAATAAATGGCGTCAAAGGATGCATGTAACATAATGAAACTCTTTACCCATATATTCAGTATGCTTGTTGTTTTCATGGGCTCTGTGTATGTATGTGTGTGTCTATTTATATATATAGATATAGATATAGATATTCACTTTTTGCATATGAGTATCTACGACTCTGCATTGAAAGAGAAAACAGTGATTCAATAAAACAAATCTTCTATTCTCTCGAAAAGGGCATATCAGGGGAAAACAAAGAAAAAAGTGGCGTCAAAGGATGCATGATAAGGCGTTCACATCAGAAACTTGAACGATTATAATTTATATCCAATTAATGCATTTATTTTAGAATATAATAATGAAATGAAATGTTTACTTATCCCAGTTTATTTTATCTTTTTTCATAGGTAAAGCGGCTCTAATGCCACCCTCTCTTAATACCCATTGCAATGCTTACGTCTCAAATATTTTTTTTTCTTTTTTTTTATCATTAATTAAATTTTATATCAAAGAAGTGACACTTTAATATCTTGCGGGTATAAAATGGTATAATCTTAAAATTTTTTATAATTTAAAAAAGAGTCTAAGATTATGCAATTTTGATTTATTTTTTAAAGTCCTAAAAATTTTAAATTACAACTGTATCGGAGTTTTGCTCTACACTGGATGACAAAAGAATGATTCAATAAACTTTTGTTTATAATAATAATAATAAAAAAGACAAATCTTTCATGCTCTCACAAAGGACAAGCTAAGATCCTAAAATATCGGGAATTCTTTCATTTTTCTTTGCCTTGTTTTATTTTGGTGATTTTGAGTGATGAAAAATTATAAAATACAAATATCCACTGTAAAAGAGGGGGAAAAAAATCCTAACGCTACTTAGATAAATTATTTGTTGACCAAGACTTCGTTGCCAGTGGATAAAATTACAAATAAAAGAAATCTTCACCGCTCGACAGGATAGCACTCTTCTGATAACGCAAATTAATTGGATAAACTTAAAAAGCTCCTCACATCTACAGATCATTTTAATGAACTTGACCATTTTTCTTGGGGCAGTAAAATATTAATTAGACGTGACCTATATTTATAACAAGAAAGAATATCTAACACATATAACTCAGATCAATTGCCATTATTAAGTAAAGGGGCCATAGAACTTTGATTGGCATGTAACGTCGCCATGTAAACCTTCAATTAATTAATGGATCCAGATTAATAATTTTTTTTTCAACAACCTGTAGTCCTGTTATAGGACTATTTTAATATCTTTCCGCCTAAATTAATTAATATGGGTTAATCAAAGATATTTATGTAAAACATACGGTAATAATTTTAATATACTAGACCATTTAAAAGAAGTCTTATTAAAAAGACTTGGACAGGTCCTCTTGGGATATATTCCTTTGATCTTATTTATAAGTTATTTCCAACATATTTTACACAGATCAAAGAAAACCTTAAATTTCATTAACTCTCATTTAATATTCAACAACTTTTCAACTTTATCTCTATTTAATATGCATTATATCTCATGTAAACAAAGTCAACACAATAATAAATGAAGGGTAAAATTATACATCCATACAAAATTTTCTCTCAGTGTCCTATAAATAGGATTAAAAAAACGTCTTCTCTCTCTACCCTATAAATAGGACCAGAAGAGTATTTCCTAAGTTATCTGGAAATCTAGGTGCACTAAGCTCTTCAATGAAAAAGAATCCCAGCAGGAGTGATGTAAATAGTTTCTTTAGAGCTTGTTTGGATCATGATGATCTAGCAAGTAACTTGTGTTTTTCACAGGCTTATATGTCTGTTATGAGAAATGAAGACAGTGGATGCAGCGAAGTGATTCGAGTCAATATTATTAATAGATGGGCTTGTGCATGGCTTCAGCTGTAAGCTCACAAATGTTCCTCCAGTTATTGCAGAGCTTATTGGTTTCTTATTGCATGGACTTAATTTCTGTTGGACTAAAGGGATTAGAAAAATGTGTTTATATTTAGACTGTATAGAAGCAGTCAACCTTGCTTTTAGAGGTTGTGATAGCGAACATCCTTTTATAGCTGATAATATCAGGTTAGTAGCTAAGAAGGACTGGTGGTAGGTGATATTTTGCCATGCTAACAAGGAATTCATTTCCTCTGCGAAATTTTTTTCTAGGCGTAAAGTTGACTTTCGTTTACTTGATCACTCTTCACCTTTTGAATAGGAATGGACGGTGATGAAGAAGAGTAGTCTTGTTCTCTTTTATTGTAATCTCTGTTTTGATACATTGAATTTCAGTTTTCATTTAAAAAAACTTGGACGCTCGGTGTAATTAAAGAAGGGAGTATCGAATTAATAAAATCAGTGAATTCACACTATCTAAATGTTGCTAGGTGGGATATAGAGATGATTGTGACGGAGCAACGCTTTAAGTATTTAATTATTATTCAATTAATGAGGTGAAATACTCTACTCAAAAAAAGGGTGAAATACTTGATTGGGATTTGGGAGTGCGGGGACACATTTGTGGACAACTTTTTGTTGCTAATACCTTGTCGCTGCTGCTGAAAGACCTTTTAGTGGCTACTAATATGTTGCAGCTGAAAGTCATTTTCAGCAACAACAAAGAAGACGCCGTTGAAAGTTTCGTTGGACAAAAATAGGACTACTGCTGAAGGTCGCCATGTCATCACCAATTGGCAAGTGTCACACGTCTCTCGCCACTTCGCTTGTGCCACGTGTCATCGCTAAAATTTAAAATAAACTTTTTGCAGTGATAAAAGAACATTGCCGCAACATTAGGTCACTGCTGAAAGGACCCTTAAGTGGGTTGTGTCGCCACTGAAAGTGCCATTGAGCAGTGACATTAGGTGTCGCTACTGAGAGTTTGATTTTCAAAAATTGACTGTCAACAGTGATTTTTCAAAATCACTTCTAACACACATTTAAATGGCAACATTGAGGATCTCTGCTAAAAGTAAAACTTCCAGCAGCAACATTTTGAGTCGTCACTTAAAGTCATTTTTTTAGTGATATATGACCTCCTATATATAATATACATTATTTGATAATAATATTAATATTAAACGACCATTTATGTATGTATTATTTTCATGCCAAGCCAACAAAGTCTTCTTCTTTTTTTAAATAAAATCTATTTAAAAATAAAAGTTGACCAATTTTAATTGACAAATTGTAAGGAAAGTTGGTATAGCAAAAAATGAATGCATTCTTGAAATGAATAAATAAATAACACGCTAGTTACAACATCGTCAACTTATTTTCAGACATTTTCAAAGTACAACTTATATTAAAAAAAGGATTATATCCATTAAAAAATTTAAAAATTAAGTTGAAAAAAATAAAGGGATAATTAATCTCTGGGTCCTTATAGTTTTATCTGATTTTTAATCAGGTCCCTATAAATTTTTTTTGAGAAAAGAGCAAATAAAGACTCATCAATATGTGAACTTGCAATTTGGAACCCTCAATTTGGAAAATGACAAACAAAGATCCGGTCCCATATAGCGAATGTGAAATCTTAGGAAAATATCTAAAATGTCTCTCAGTTAAGTTGTAATTTGATCTACTGAAATTGTCATTTGCTAAAGTAAACTTATCATTTTTCATAGTCAACTTGTCATTTAGCATACCCTCAATCAAGTTGTGATTTGGTCTACTAAAATTATCATTCGCTAAAGTAAACTTGTTATTTCCTATAGTCAACTTGTCACTTGGCCGAGAGGCATTTCAGACATTTCACCAAGATTTTATATTTGCAATATGAGACTGAGTCTTTATTTGCCATTTTCCAAATTAAGAATCCCAAATCGTAATTATACATATTGAGGGGTCTTTATTTGCCATTTTCTCTTTTTTTTATCAGATCCTTTCACTTTCATGTATTTTTAATTAGGCCCCTTCATTTTTTTAATCATATCCTTATAGTTTTACTTATTTTTTAATGAGGTCCTTTATAGTTTTAAAAAAATTATTTATTAAATTAATTCTTTAAAATTAATAATTTTATAATTGGACAAAATAATTAATATAATCATTTAGTAATTAATAATTAATCAAATTAATCAATTAAACTTAACTATAAATTATTTATAATTATATTCTAATCTCAGAAATTTTATTATTATAATTTGAATTTTATAATTATAAAAACTGGAATTGAAAAATAAATAATATATATGTTTAACTAAAAATTTAAAAGAATATTAACATAAGATTATTATAATAATGTATTATTATGAAATATTATTATTTATAGAATCAAGAATAAGAAGTAGAAGGACCTAATTAAAAATAAAGTAAAACAATAAGAACCTGATAAAAAAAATTATAAGGACCTAATTAAAAATATGTGAAATTATAAAGACTTGATAAAAAGAAAAAAAAAATGTAGGAACCTAATTAAAAAACAGTTGAAACTGTAAAGATTTTCATATTAATTATCCCAAAAATAAATAAAGGGGAATGGAGATATGAGATTAATCAACAATGCAACAAGTATACATGATATTTGTATAGTGCAAAGATTAGTAAAGGCTGCAAGAGACGGAGACGTTAACAAACTGCACAACGTATTGAAGGAGGATTTTCAAATACTAGAGAAAACATGTTTAGTTTATTTTGCAGAGTCACCTCTTCATGTTGCAGCACTATCAGGGAAAACAGATTTTGTGAACCACATTGTGGCTCGAATGCCTTCATTAGCCACAGAAACAAACCAGCAAGGTATGATAAATAAATCCCACTGCACTTGGCTTCTTTAGAAGGTCATCTTGAGACCGTTAGGGACCTGTTGAAGGCGAAGCTTGATGATGATGGGGTGAATCAATGCCTTTTGAAAGACGATGAAGACTGGACTGCGCTGCACCGTGCATCACAGAAAGGCAAAAGCCGGGTGATGGCGCAAGAGTTAATCAGCAAATGTCCTCAGTGCCGAGAACAAGTGACAACAAAAGGAGAGGCTAATCGATTTGAAGCAGTGAAATTGCCGGCGGAGAGGATTAAAAGGCTTCCAAATTTCCTAACACAGTTGAAGGCCTAGGACCAAAAAAGAAACCTATCAGCTTGCAGCAATAGCAAAGAACAACTCGCAGGTGTATTGAAGAACGAAGGCCATCTGATCAATATAAAAAACAAAGCGTTTAGAAAGCGGCCATGTCATTAAACTGGAAAACTCAAACTACAGATATCAATAATGGGCTCGATCTATTCTGTACACTAGAGGCCCTATTTATAGACTGACAACATGCTAACAGCCCAAAACAAGAATTTCAAGTTCAAGCTGTAATTGAAACTATCACCTAATACAAAACTGGAAACAGCCAAATGTTCACATGATTTTACATAATACCTCATTACTTACACTCCCCCTCAAGTTGGGGATCGAACAGATTGACTGTCCCTAACTTGCCCAAGAGCCTTCTCTGGGTTTCTCCTTAAGATAGCCTTTGTGAGTAGATCAGCTTGTTGATTGCTTGACTTAATATGCTTCATATCAATTTGTCTGGATTGCCACTTTTCTCTAATGAAGTGGCAGTCCACCTCAATATGTTTTGTCCGCTCATGGTAAACTGGGTTGGCAGCAATGTGAATAGCTGCCTGACTATCACAAAAGACATTTACAGCTTGTGAATGTTCAATATCCAAATCCTTTAGCAGCCCCAATGCCCATACTATTTCTGAAGTTGCCATACTTAACGCCCTATATTCCACCTCTGTAGATGACTTTGAGATAGTGTTTTGTTTCCTTGTTTCCCACACGACCAATGAACCTCCAAGTTTCAGTAAATATCTTGTAACTGAACGGCTGGTAATTGCACAAGATGCCCAACCTAAGTCACAAAAACATTCCATCTCCAGCTTCCCTTCTGAGCTTAAAAATATTCCTAATCCTGGAGCTCCCTTTAAGTATCTCACCACTGCTTTAGCTACTGCCATGTGAGCCTTGGTAGGAGTTTGCATAAATTAACTCAAAGTTTGCACAAAAAAAGATATATCAAGGCGAGTCATTGTTAGGTAAATTAGCTTACCAATCAACTGTCTATATCTATCAGGCTTGCTTAAAAGATCTTCCTTCTTTGTCTTTCCTTCCTCATAAGGCATCAGTTTTAAATTTTGTGGCATGGGAATTGACAATGGCTTACAGCCACTCATTCCTGTTTGAGATAATAAATCCAAAACATATTTCCTTTAAAATAGAACTATCCCTTTTTCAGATTTAGATATCTCTATTCCAAGAAAGTATTTCATGTGACCAATGTCTTTGATTCTAAAGTTATTATGCAAAAAAAGTTTTTGTGAATTTAATGCCATTTTCAGAACTACCTGCCAATAGTAAATGATCAACATAAACCAAAATGATTACCACACCATCTGTCAAATGCTTCACAAACAAGGAATAGTCACTTTTACTCTGTCTAAAGCGTCCACTAGTTAAGGTCTTTGAAAGCTTTTGGTCCATTGTCTGGAAGCTTGTTTCAACCCATAAAGTGATTTCTTTAACCTACAAACCATACTCTCCCCTTTGCTTTCAAAGCCTTGATGGATCTTCATGTAGACCTCCTCATTGAGGTCTCCCTTTAAAAAAAGCATTATGCACATCCATCCGGTATAGATTCCATCTATTTACAGCAGCAAATTTAAGCACTAAACGTACAGTAAACATTTTTACAACAAGGAAAAAAGTCTCATGATAGTCTATTCCTTGCTTTTGGTTGTAACCTTTTGCTACTAACCTAGCCTTATATTTATCTATACTCCCATCTGAATTATACTTAATTTTGTAGGCCCATTTACATCCTATAGGTCTCTTACCTTTGGGTAAAGGAACAATGTCCCATGTTCTATTGCTTTCAAGGGCTTCCATTTCATTTTTTTATTGCATTTACCCATCTTTTATCTGTCACAGCCTCTTCATATTTAGTTGGTTCAATATGAGAATCAATAGAGCAAAGAAAATTCATGTAATCAGGGGAAACATTTGAATAGGATATGTAGTTAGCAATGGGATATTAACATTTACTTCCTTGACTTGTTTCTATCTCAAAGGAAAGTAAGGAACAAACATAATCCTTTGACCATATGGAAGGTCTTCTCTTCCTAACTGGTCTATGTTGATTAAGTTCAGTTTCATTACCATTTCCATTTACCTGTTGAGTATCATTCTAAACATTTTCTTGTTCTGGCTGAACATCTCTCGCATTTGTTTGATCTGTCCTGATATGACTTTGGTCTGATTTATACCAGAACATCTCCTTTAACATAGGGCTTACTCCCCCTGGCTCAATGCTCATAGAATCCTTATAAGGAAACCTATCTTCAAAAAAGCTTACATGTCTACTAACCATTATAGCTTTGTTTTTCAGGTCAAGAAGTATGAAACCCTTCTGATTATCAGGGTATCCTAAGAAAACACATGGAATTGCTTTAGGCTTAAATTTATCATACACTCTAAAGATCTGTAGCATAAGCTAGACATCCAAAAACTCTTAGGTTATTCAAATCAAATTTATGCCCGTATACCCTCTCATAAGGAGTCTTGTATCCTATTACCTTAGAGGGAATTCTATTAACTAAGTAAATTTTCATTTTCACACATTCCCCCCAGTATTCAGTAGGTATATTAGACTGCAACATTAGACCCCTAGTTAACTGCATTATAGTTCTGTGTTTTTTTTTTTCCACTACCCCATTTTCCTTAGGAGTATAAGGAAAAGAGGTCTCATGAATTATTCCTTTTTCCTGCAAAAATTCTTTTAACTCTGTGTTTTTTAATTCAGTTCCGTTGTCACTTCTTATCCTTTTTAAGTGTTTATGAAATTAAGTGAAAATGTAAGAAATGAAGTTTTTAATATGAGTAATAGCTTCTAATTCATTCCTCATCATAAAAGCCCAAGTTTCTCTTGAAAAATTATCAACTATAGTAAGGAAATATCTAAAACCTTGATGTGTTGGGGTCCTGTAGGGTCCCCAAATGTCAATATGCAGAAGTTCAAAAGAATTCTTTGTCTTTATACAGCTAGAATTGAAGGGAAACTTGGTCTGTTTAGATTGAACACAAACATCACGTTTTATTTGCAAGAATATTGTCATTGATTAAAAAGTCTAAATGCTGCATTATAAAGAGAGGGGCATGGCCCAACCTTTTGTGCCATAAAGCAATATCAAAAAAATTTTCAAGTTTATAGAGGTTGCCAGCAATATGAACAGAATGAAAACTCTTGCTATTCTTAAGATGTATAAACTGTCCACAACTCTACCAATCAGCTTCATCTTCCCACCTTGAAGGGCATGCACCAAACAAAGATCAAGAAAGAAGGAAGCCATACAGTTATGTTCTTTTGTGAGTCTGGATATTGAGATCAAATTGCATTTAAGTCGGGGGGTCAAATAAAACATTTTCTAGGATAATCTCTTCTAAAATTTTAACTCTACCTATATGAGTTATGGGAGCTCTACTTCCATAAGGTATTTTAATAGCTTGAATTGGCCTATCATAAACTCTATAGTCCAATAACAAATTTAAATTTCTTATCATATGTGTCGTTGCCCTAGAATCCAAAATCCAAGTCACGAAAGAAACATTATAAGTGGAAGGAATTGTCAAACTTGTACCAGTTAATGCATGAGTAGTAACTCTTGTATCCTTCTATATCAGCTCCAAGATCTTTTGGTATTGCTCCTGAGTGAAGCTAGGCGCCATGGTGTTTGTTGAATTTGCAAATATTTCAGATTCATGGTTAGTGTCAAAAGTTTCTTGAGTTGTCTCTTTATTCTACTTCACTCTGTTGCCTTTGAAATTCACTGGATATCCAATTATTTGATAACATTCTCTCAGCTATGCCCTTTTTTTGTGGCAATGGGAACATTCCAAGCCATTCTTACCACATCCGCGGCCTCTGCCTCGTCTATGACCCCTTATCACCATAGCGATTCTTTCACCAAGCGAATTCTTTTCTGCACCGGTGATATATTTTTGAGCTTCATCTTGAATGATCATTAAGAAGGCCTCATTGACTGAGGGCAGAGGATTCATCAACAATATTTGACTCTGGGCTTGTAAGCAGGATTCGTTTAATCCCATCAGGAATTGTAAGAGCTTTTGTTCTTGTATAACCTCTGCATAAGTCCGAGAAGTGGCACAGGTACAAGATGGAAGGATCATCAGTGCTGATTGCTCTTCCCAAAGTTCTTTCAATTTCGAATAATAAGCAGACACAGAAAATTCTGGCCCCATTGTTCTTGTCAAATCTTTCCTTTAAGTCGATCCACACAACATGCGCACTTTGAAAGAAAATTACACCATTAGCGAGCTCCTTAGATATCAAATTTAGGATCCATGAGAGAACGATCGCATTGCATTGTTCCCATTGCTCTTGTAACAAAGCATCTTGATCCTCCTTCTTACAGATTCCAGTGACAAACCCCAATTTGTTTTTCCCCATCAGTGCTATCCTCATTGCTCTGCTCCACAAGTTATAATTTTTCATTGCGGTGAGTAGATGATGCACAATTGAGGTCCCTAGCATGTCTGACAGGTGCAAGAACAATGGATGAGAAAACGGTAGACTCTCTACGGTTGATTTCTCCTCTCCTATGATGCTTCTTGCTGCAGATCACAGAAGTTCTTCGTCTGGTCAAAAAGATTGAACAAGAACAAGGAAAACCCTAGGCTTTGATGCCATGAAGATTGAAGGCCATCTGATCAATATCAAAAACACAGCGTTTGGAAAGGGGCCATTTCATTAAACTGGAAAACTCAAACTATAGATATCAATAATGGGCTCGACCCATTCTGTACACCAGAAGCCCTATTTATAGACTGACAATATGCTAACAGGCCCAAAACAAGAATTTCAGGCCCAAGCCATAACTAAAACTATCACCTAATACAAAACCAAAAACAGCCAAATATTTACATGATTTTACATAACCCCTTATTTCTTACATGTGTGTGTGTGTGTGTGTGTGTGTGAAGAGAAGCATAATATATATGTGCATGTAATTAATGAATATATTTGAATGTTTATATATTCATGCATGGTGATTGGAATATATGAGTGTGGCAGGCAGTAGAGGTTCTAAGGGTAGAAAATAAGGGAGATGAAATAAGCATGAATGTAGAAGGGCAGGGGAGTGAGATTGAAGAATCTGAAAAAAGATGATTATATACCAAGCTTGGGCAAGTCCTCCATCAACCTTTCTCAAAGAAGGCAGCACTAGAATAGACTGGGACTGCCTTAATCAAAGATCACATCAAGCACTGCCTTAATCTGAAGGATCACAGCGACATAGCCAATGAATGCAAAAAAGAAATGTGTTAAAATAAGATGTAATTGAATGCTGTGATGTCTTTCTTTGTATTTCCTGGCCATTTACTAATCATTCATAAGTGATGAGAGTGACTAGATTGGTTTGACACAAATCAGAGAGTTCCTATCTTATACAAATGACTAGAAAATATTATAACATTAGTTCTGAATTTACTGACATGAAATTGTTAATTCTGATAAGGTAGTTGTTAATAGAGTTATTGACAAAAACAAAACGCTTTCCTTTGTCTTTTTACCAGTTATAAAAGACTAATAAATTTCATGAGGCTAAGTTGGAAAATTTGTGTCATTTTATGATGCAGGCACATGCATGTTTGATGGATGCATAAACATACGTGAGTGGAGTTTTGATTTAGTCCAACCTAATTTGTCCTAGCAAATTTTTTGAAGTCTAATGTTGGAACTTATTTCGATTTATTTTATTTTTGAGTCTAGTCTGCATGACGTTGTTTAATTGAATCACTTATTCTGGCTGTTAATATATTCACAAATCATTTGTTTAAAATGGTTATCTATTGACCAAGACTTTATTGCTTGCGTGGTTTATATATCATAGTATCACTAAACCTATAGTTATACTCCTCTGGTCCTTAATATAAGACCTATTTAACTAATTTGATTAGATTAAAGAAGTTAAATTAGTTAGCTAATTATAAGAAATATAACATGTTTTTCCTAAAACACCAAATTATCTTCCTTAATATCATCTCTCCCTCTTCTATTTGATTATAGTTTAGGGGATTCATAGGAATAATTTAGAAAAAAATGATAAATATGAGAAATAGGTATTATATTTAAGATCAAAATTAACTCAATAATTAGGTCCTATATTAAGGACCAGAGTAGTATTAATTTGATCAGGTTTGTAAAGTTGATATACACACTTTAGATTAATTAATGGAGCCCATCTCTATTAAAATTTTTTATATAATACTACCTCCAGTCCTTAATATAAGAGCTAGTTGACTAATTTGAGTATATTAAAAAAAATTAGTTAAACTAGTTATTTGTAATAAATAGATATGTCTTTCTTATAATATCTTTATTAATTTAGTGTATTAGCTACAACTATTATTATTACAAAAATTATCTTAGAAAAAAAATGAATAAATATAAGAGAAAAGTGGATTAAGATCTTATATTTAAGATCAAAATAGAAGCCATATGAGGATTTATATTAAAGAACGGAGGTAGTATTAATCAAGTCAATGACCTCACACCATGTAAGCTCAATCAATTTTCTTTTTTAAATCAAATTAGTTTCTTATCATTTATCAGGTCAGTGAGTTCACACCGTGATGACAATGGTTACATAAAATATATCAATATAAAAAGTTAAGCCAATGAGTTAATATCTTCATCCTAAAATGAACAAATAATTAACACGGTAACGCCGCAAGAGCTGCTGAAAGGTGATGGATCAGATGTTGGTGAAAGCCGCAAGAGATGGAGATGTTAACAGACTGCTCAACCTGTTGGAAGGAGATCCTGAGATACTGGAGAGAGCATCTTCGGGTCATTTTGTAGATTCAGCGCTTCATGTCGCAGCGCTATACGGAAAAGCAGAATTTGTTAAGCAGATTGTGATTCGAATGCCTTCCTTAGCCACAGATCCTAACCAGCAGGGTATGATCCCACTGCACTTGGCTTCTTTGAAAGGTCACGTTCAGACAGTGAGGGAACTTTTGAAGGCAAAGCTTGACGACGATGATGGAGTGAATCAATGCCTTGCGAAGGATGACGAAGGCTGGACTGCGCTGCACTGTGCATCACGGAAAGGCAAAATGAGAGTGATGGAAGAGTTAATGAGCGCATGTCCTGAGTGCTTGGAACAAGTGACAGCAAAAGGAGAGACTGTTCTTCATTTAGCGGTGAAGGCCAATCAATTTGAAGCAGTGAAGAAAGTGCTAGCGGAGAGGATCAAAATGCTTCCAAATTTCCAGGAACTGGTAAAAGCCAGGGACATCAACGGCAAGACCGTCTATGACCTTGCTGCCGCAAAGAAAGAGTTGCAGGTATGTTTGTGTGTGTTGAGTGAAGTATAATTTGCTTATCTCGTCCATGGGCAAAGGGCCTCTAATACCCCACTCTCCAATGCCCCTTGAAATGTACCACACTCTCTAATGCCCCTTGAAATGTTCCAACCTCCTAAATGTCTTTTTCTCTCTCTTTTTTTTTTTTATCATTAGATTCTACTTAAAATGATGATATTTTGATATCTTATGGGCAAAAAATGGCAAAGTTTTGAATTTTATAGGATTTTTTAAAGAAAAATACCCTAAAATAGTGCATTATTTATTTATTTTTTGGAAAAATCATAAAAAAATTCAAAACTTCACTATTTTTTGCTCATAAAATATCCAAATGTTACTTATTTTATGTAGAGTCTGATGATAAAAAGAAAAGAGGAAAAAAAAAAAAAAAGAAGCAAAAGGTTGGGGCATTTCAATGGGCATTAGAGACCCCTTGCCCCTCATGTGGACTGTTTCTGTATGTTGATTGGGAGGTGAGTGTGGCAGGTGCTAGAGATACTGAAAGAAGATGAGGAGGAGGGAGATGAAATAAGAGAGGAAAGTCGTATAAACATGAAGGGGGAGGGGGAGGGGAGTGGCAGTAAAGCATCTGAAGAAGAGCAGAGCAATCCATCTCAACTGCAGGAGGATGCAATACTAGTAGTGGCCACCTTGATCATAACATTGACATACCAAGCTATGGCAAATCCTCCATCACTGGTTTTCAAAGATGGCACTGCAATAGAATGGGGCTGCCTTCGCCTTGGCCTGATATTTGGTCGGACATCTCCAGACAACCTCAAGGACTGTCCAGCCCTGTTGGCTTTTTGGTTCTTGCTTCTCAACACCATCATCTTCGTGACATCAATCATCATCGTGGTTTCCACTTTCCGAGGCCGAGAAACAATCCATTTGCAACTGCTTACGCTGTACTTTGTCTTATGTTATAGTACCTTGCTCACGGCGGTCAACTATAATCTCATATCTTATGTATTTCCCCTTGGAATTATAATGATTGTAGCCTTTGCTTTCTTCAAAATTGTAAAAACCCTAAAATCTACGCAATAATATTTTAATCATTTCGGGGTAAAAATGCAATAAAAGTGAATGGTGGTCTAGTGGGAACTAGTCTCGTTACTCATTTTTATATCTTGGGTTCCATTCCTTCCTTTGTAAACAGAATAATTTTATTTCTTTTTAAATTGTGAAATTTTATCTGAGTTGGGGATCTGAGTCGTGAATGCTTATTCGTCGATTGCCTTCCCTTGTCTGAACTGGGACGTTTGTTGTTTGGGGAATGCTTGAAAGGAAGGCACCGCTTTTCTTATTTGAGTTGGGGATCTAAGTTGAATGATTGCTCGTCTACCGCCTTCCTGATCTGAGCTAGGGCGTTTGGTGTTTGAGGAATGCTTGAAATGAAGGCACCATGCTGGTTTTGTTGCTCAAAGCTCTACCGGTGATGATCATTCTGAGCACTCCATGGCTGTGGGTGGCCCACCGAGAGATGGAAGGAGATCAGGGGAAGAACCTTTGTTTTTTACCCCCGCAAAAAGAGAAAATCAAGGAGAGAGAAAGAAGAGGAAGAGAATGAGGTGATGTGAAGCTGAGTTGGAAAACCCTGAATACATATGGCTATAATGTAGCCCCATATGGTCAATATCAACCGTCAATGTTGGGATGGTTAAATAGGACATTTTTGTTACCAAAATACTCCTCCGGTCCTAATTATAAGACCTAATTGACTTATTTGAGGAGATTAAAGAAGTAAGTTAAGTTGGTTATTTATAATAAATAAGTGTTGTCATTCCTAAAATATCCTTGCTAATTAAGTATATTAGTTAAAACTATCATTATTAAAAGGATTATCTTGGGAAAAAATGCATAAATATAAAAGAGAAAATAGATTGGGTCTTATAATTAGGACCAAATAAAAGGTCAAATTGGGTCTTATAATAAGGACCGGAGGAGTAATTTTTTGTGACATATAAGAACTAAAAAAATTTTTGGATATTGAATGTTCCTAAGTGTAACTTTTAAGATATTTTAGTACCTTATTTCAATAATAAATAAATACATCCTATCAGATCTTTTCCTTAGAAGGTCATGTTGAGACAAAGAGGGAGCTAAAAATAATAATAATAAATATATCCTATCAGATTTCTTCTTTTCCATTCAATGAATCTAAAGGAAAGGAAGACCGACCAAATAAGCTTTGGGAAGAAACAGGGAAAAAATGAAGAGCATCCATCTCCATCTTCCTTTCCGGCATCATTTTTTTCTGTTCGTCTCCAGCACGTGCATGTGAGTTTCCGATCGCTGTGTGGGTGCTGCAGCCGTTGAATTTCTTTTCCTCCTCCCCTGTTTTGACTGACGCTGGATTTACAAATAATCAATGTGATGCCTTGTAAAAAGAACTACAAAACTCCCCAACTAAAAGACTGGAGTACATTGCGTATTATCAACATAGCTGATGCATCATAAAAGGAATCTAATTATAGGGCAGTTTGTAAAAAGTAATAAATATGGGAAATAACCGAATAAGGGAGGCTGAGGTCTTACAGTTTAAACCAAACCAACCCCACCATCTACCTCCTCCATGTAGCACTGGAGGGAGCAACTTCTTTAATATACAGAGATATGCGAGGAAAATCACTTCTTCTTTTTTCTAACAGTGGTTATTAAACAATTAATGTGTATAGTGAATACAATATGGTGGCAGGTAAGAGTAGACAGAGCGAAAGAAGAGGAGAAGGATGAGGCAAAGGAAGAAACTAATATAACCGTGGAGGTGGAACATGGTAGTGATTCTTGTGATGAAGCACCTGAAAATAAAGAGTAGCAGAGTTTCAGAATACAATATTGGTAGTGGCAACGTCAATTATAACGTTGTCATACCAACGTTTGACAAATCCTCCATCAACGCTGTTTCAGACAAGCGCGAAAATAGATTGGAGCTGCATGTCTCGGAGCTATGTTCCACCAAAGTATATGTTATATCCCACCGACAGTACAGACAAGAGCTGTTCACCTTATTTAGCTTTATTGTTCTTGGTGTTTATCTCCATCATCTTCACCCAATCAATCTTCCTTCTGCTTTCGAGCTTTAAGTGGGTCTCATGGGTTCCTCTTGATTCTGCGATTGCTCGCTTTAGTCCTCTCATACAATCACTTTGTTACTGGAGGCTTTAACCTCCTATGCTAAATATTTTACTGCTGCAATTTACTGGCTTTCTACTGTCTTCCTCCTCTACTTACTGTTCAACGAACCTAAGATCAAAGAAAAGCTACGGCAGATCTGGAGGAAACTCAATGCTAAAGGCCTAAAGTTACTTAAGCCCTTTTATCAGAAAAGTTTCAGTTTAGAAAGTAGGTACATTCATAATAAAAAGTTATAACTGTGATAAGAAACGAACTGAAATGTGCTTTTCTTTTTTATTTTCCTCAATTTGATTTGTTTGTTTTTAATTCCACTTAGCTTGTATGCATATCTTAAAAGTTATTTGTTACAGGTTTCTTGTTATTCAAAAATCGAGTTTAAAATGGAAGTTGGTTTATAGTCTTCGTCGTCCCACATTTTTTATTGGAAAATTGATATTTGAGCGTAATTTTTCAGAAGTACAGATTTGACAGAATAAACAAAAACCAGTTGGGTCAAGCAGGAAGAATCTCTCGAGCCTTTTTATGCAATGAAAATAGAGTTGAAAACAGAAATGGAAGCGGAAATCAGGTGGGAATGGTTTTCTAAAATATGTTTGGTGTGTTTACGAAAATTAGACATAATTTTTAATAAAGACCTATATATTTTTATTATCAAAAGACTATAAAGCCCTTGTCAAAATTTTCTCTAAACAATTCATATGAAACTAGTTTTTCTCATTATCAAATAGGAAAATTTCATTTAAGGATCACTGTAGCCAATTAATATCATTCAACCCCCAAAAGATTATGAAATGTCACTACAAGACCAAGGAACCAAATTGAAATTAAATTTTCATTGTAAATACTAAATTTTACTTGTAAATTGTCGAATTTTACTTGTAAATCCATAAATTTCTGTTATAAATCTTTAAATTTCACTTGGTCATTTACACTTAAACACTTGTATTTGGGATTGTGAATTTCATTGTTATTTATAAATTGTCAAATTTTTGTTTTAAATTACTGAATTTCACTTGTGAATTATCGAATTTCACTTGTTCACTTATATTTGGACACTTACGTTTGTTTTGTTATATATATTTTTACTTGCACTACATGATTAAATGGCTTGCTTGGCTTAGTGGTTATCTCACTTTTGGTGTACCAAGGGGTCATGAGTTCAAACCTTCCCTTGGCTACCTTGTTTTAAAAACAAAAAAAACTTTCGGCTATCAGAGCTACAGTAACAGCCACCGGAGGTCCAACCTCTGGCGTGGTCGAAACTCTGACAACCATTAATATTTATTTTTAAAAAAAAATAAAAATGAGAGGTATTATTGTAATTTCACTCTTAAATTTAATTTCAGTTTGATCCCTTGATCCTGCAATGATATTTCAGAATCTTTTGAGGATTGACTGATATTAATTTGTTATAGTGGTCCTTAAATGAAATTTTCTCTCGTCAAATTCAATCAATGCAACAGAGCAGTTCGGGCAAGACAAGCTGAGATAATATCCTTCCCATCACAAGAATTAGATAGAAAGAAACTCCATTGAAATTCTATATGAGGTTCGCATCTCCTTTGTACAACTTTTCTCTTTTGTACATATAAATATATATATATATATATATTTGGGTTTATATATCTTGTCAAATACAAATACAGTGAGCGGGCATAAAATAGCTCTCCTCAATCCCCAGAGGATCCTAATTTAAAAGAATTCGAAGCACAGTTTTAGGATGATACCAAGAGGCACACGGATTATATCCTGGCAAACTCAATAGTTTTCTTCCCATCATGAGGCTTACTGAAGAAATACTTGAAGTAGTCTGAGTACACAACTTGCTTATACTTTGGCTCTTCTCCCTTCTCCAGAACTTCTGGTAAACAGGTAAAGGACCAATAACGGCATCGGGCGCTGGGTTCACAAAAATCGGGATTGAGATCCTGGTTTTGGCTCTGTTTGCAACAGCTTGGTGCTCAATGCTTTTGTACCTCTCATTGCTCATTATTTGCAGCACATCTCCAACGTTGATTACCAATGCACCATCAACAGGAGGTACAAATATCCAGTTATCACCATCACTGGCTTTTACATAAAGCCCACCTATCTCATCTTGGAGTAGGACGGTGATCGATGATATATCAGAATGCCGACCTACACCAACTACAGCCTCAGCATCAGGGCAAGGAGGATAGTAATTGAAGTCAAGTATCATAGCCCCCATTAAGGCATGTTCTCTTTCGTTGTCCATGTCCTTCACGTTGAGGCCTTTAAGGAGCACTTTTAACAGCCTTCTGATGAGAACTTCAGCATGTTTCATATATTCCAGGGATTGTTCTCTGCAAGAATGATAATCAATTTAGGTTGATTTAGACACTAGTTATCATTTCTTGGTAAGCAAACCTATGCAATTATAGCATTATCCAATAGCTATTGAGCCATGTATAAACACAGCAAGCTACATTTGGGATCCTTATGGATATATGACCTTAAAAAACAAAATGCATTCAATGCATTCTATGTTTACACCACTGCAGTACAACAGTTCAAAAGTTTGTGCCCACTTACGCAATATGACACTAAATTACATATGTACATTTCATATTTTGTCATGTTGCAATATCCGTGCCATTTTTTGCAACCATTGACGCTTCCTAAGTTCCTAGCCACTTTTTCAGAAAATCAGTGGGTTCAAATGTGAATTCATGTACAAGACTGACTTCTGGCATGAAGAATAATGCGTTTATTTTCTGTGTTCAAAATTATTTTCAGCAATAAGTTCAACTAATATTTTCTCACTGTCAGCTAGGTCTAAGAAGACTAGGATGCATCAAATGATTCCTTTTGATGAAATGAAATATTAAATCTTCATTATTTACTTTATTCCTTGTTATAGCAAAAACATTATCCTGCGCAAAAACAAGTCAAAACATAAGAGTAAGTTCCTCTATGGCCATGTTGGACTCCTAGAAATACCGTCCCATTCTTGAGCAGCAGGTGAATCTGATACCAACGGCGAAACAGGACATTTTTGGCTAAAGAATTTGAGCATTCGTTGGACTCAAAATACCTTCCTAACTCAAGCCACGCCCCAAATAAACCAGAGAATAAGAACCATGAAAACCGCACACTATGCAGCATTGTATTCACCAGTAATTTAAACAGCCACAATATATTTAACACAAAGGTTCAACCAAATTAAATTCCCACATGCCACATTCACCCAAATTATGATGAAGATAAATTCCAAATTCAAAAAATGAGCTTTTTGTCTCATTTCTATTTCATAGCTCTAAGAATGTCTAACTTTCTCACATGGTATTACAAGCATATTCAGGATTCAACATGTATCTGATGCTTCAAAGAATATAGATTACAAGAACTGTCTCTTACTTGCATATGGCAGGCCAGTGTGCCTGAATTTTCTCCTCCGACGCATACACAAGTTGCAG